CTGGCCCTGGCTGCCTCCGCACCCCAGTGCGGCCAGCAGTGGGCTGGGACCCCCCACAGCGCCTGCTGGGGGCACAGGCGCAGGGAGCTACCACGGCCACCCGCCGCCCTCTCCATCGCTGAGGCCAGAGTGGGGTCCATGCCAAAATGTCAGCTCTGTAATAAAACGCGCAAGAGCTACATTTTCTTTGGGCCAGTAAAATTCACGGTGAGTGGCAAAAATCCATCGCTGGCACCCCAGGGCTGGCAGAAGCTGCAGCATGGGAGCCGGCCCAGGGCAGGCAGGGGCTGGGGGTTTGCACCCCAACACCCGAGCTGGGCAAGCCCTGGCGTTAGGATAGGATGCCCAAGGATGGCAAATCCCTGGGGTTACCAAATACGCCCAGAAGGCAGCTGCTTCAGGAGCTGAAGCCAGGCAGCGGCTGGGGGAGGCGCAGGGGTGTCCCAGCTGCTTGCCCCGTCCTGGTTTGACCTCGACACCTCTTACGGCTACCATTGGAAACGGGGTCCCGGGAGGCCGGCGCCCATGCCTGGGCCTGCATGGCTGCTGGCGTGTGATGGTCCACACGGTGATGGGCGAGGGGTGGATGCAAAATGGTCAGATGAAAGCCTTGAGTAGGCTGGCAACTTTGTCCAATTTTGTTTTTTGAAGAGGCCACTTTGGTCCAGTTCATACCGCCTCCCTCACCCTGCTCCTGCCAAGACTTCCACTAGAGCCAAGACACGTTAGCGGAACGTGCAACGAGCAGGGTGGAGGAGGGTGGCTCAGGGCACACGCAGCTCCCATGCTGTGCCCGGCTCCTCCACGCACAGGCCGGCCCCTTCCTGAGGGGAAGACGATGTGACCTGTCTCCAGCAAGTGCAACATCTCCCCAAGCCACTGTGCTGCCCAGGCGAGTTTGCCGGCGTTGAGTAAATCCGCTGTGCCCTGCCAAGGTAAAATGATAAAACACTGGGCTGCAATGCAGGAACTGCAGTTATAACAAGAGAAAAATCAATGAAATATATTATCAAGGATATAAAGATGCCATTAACTGCTTCAGCACTTCACGCCATCCCCGACGAAGCGCGGTCCCACCGCCGGACGTGCCTGGCCTCGAGGTGCAGCCCGCGCTGGAGGGGGCCCATGCCTGCGGCGCGGCCCAGCTGCCCACCGCTGGGACAGCTCGGGTGGTTGCTGAGAAGTCGAGTCAAGCTTCCTCTAATTGATTAATCAATAGCCTTAATTGAGTAGACTCTGCTTTCCCCTTTGCTCGCGCCGCCCTGACCCCCCCGGCGGCTGGGGCCCGGCGGGGCACGTGAGTGAGA